AACCCGAATGGAAAACGACGAGTTCGGCGTCCAATGGAGACATAGAAGAGGTCGTATGAAGACATGAGAGCTTATGTACAATTGTAGAGCCAGTTAGAGACGACCACAGAGCACAGCATGAAGTGGAGATGTGCCTCAATTGAAGCTCTATTTTCCACTCAGAACCCAAGGCTATAAATAGTATTATTTTTATTGAGCAATAAAGCATGCTCACAGAAATATAGATCAATGAATCAAGATAAGCAGGGATAATAGTCTATCAATCTTCGTATCCAAGCAAAATTTGCTAAAGAAGGTTGAGTGTAATAAACATTTTGGTGGATATGTGTGGAGTGTGCTACTGATAAGATTCATCAGTAGTATATAAAGAAAAATTGATCGGCATAAAATACACCAAATATCAAGGGAATACAGTTGATTTCAGAGAAAGCGAATGATACAGCGTTACTGAGATACATGGGAGATGTCAAAGGAGCACAGTGAAACACTAGATGAAGGCCATTAGTAGCACAACATTGAAGATCTGTGCAAATGGTGCGTTGAAGAAGATGCGGTGTACATAATTCCGCTTTACAGAGATACTAAACTCAAAAAAAAAACATTCCTTTAGCAAGTCTTTCGTCTTCTAACGTTACAGATGGTGACAAACACTGGAGTCTACCAGGATAAGCACTTTGTCCCGTTCTGAGGACTCATCAGCTGGTGATAGTATCCGCACTGAGACTCGAACCAAGTACCCATTGTTCCCAACACCAAAGCTTTATCCACTAGTCCACTCGGGTCACAGAAAACACCACCTCTTGTGCAACGCGTAACAGTTATCATTAAAATTCAATTTAGAATATCCCGTCAATTGACTGAATTGAAATGTTTGGCGTCTGTTAACAAGTTGGCTTTGGTGTTTGAGACGATAGGAACACCATCACTCAGCGGGGGATGCAGATACACCCAACTAATTGACGAGTCCTGAATAGGACGAAATGCGCATCTTTCATTGCACACTGTTAGTCACCATGCACGAAATTTCTTCAGGTAAAATCCTCAGATATCGTCTAAGTATCCGCATAAGGAGGCGTCAAAATGTCAACAGCGACCGAGCACTTCGGTCTGATCAATCAAAGGGAAAGTCCGATTTGAATTGAAAACAGTTATAAATAATTGTTTTTGAATGAACATAAAAGTGGTTTAAACTCCCTAATCTCTACGGCTTAAAGTAAAACTTTAGTATAAACCCTTCGATGCATTTTGAAGATACGTTTAGAAGATGTTAAAGCGTTCAAGTTCATACCATCTATCTATAATATATTTCGCAGTGTTACAGCTTAATCATCTATTTTCAGGATCAATAGATTCGGTGAATTTAATCTGTACCTAGAGGCCTTACTTACATAAAGTGATCTATGCCTCTTCCACATGCATGTGTCACCACATATATAGTTCAATTCATTTTTTATCGACCGAAATTACAGTCATGATATTCAAATGTTGGTTTGCAGGGATTTGATTGGTTACAGGATTTTATTATGAGCCGACACATCGGTTAAAGAACCAGTTGGAAACCTGGGAGTACTGGACAATTGTTTTGTCCTAGTTTGGGTCTCTTCAACTCACTAGCGACTGATCCTATCCACATAGGTAGTTACCCTGGTTCTAGTGGGAAGTCTTGACCAGTGGGATACAGCAAGTCGGCTGTGAGGACATTGGCTGGTGGTCGGACTATACCGTAGAATTGGCAGAAGTTGAAATTCATGGACTGGCCATTGGATAAGATCTCAGTGATCTAACGGTCAACGAGCTCGCCTTACAGATGAAAGGTCCTGGGGTCCGAACTCCGATGGATGCGTACCCCGCGTCCCGAAGAGTCCTAAGCTAAAAGGACGAAACAGCTGTCCATTACTCGCTGTTGGTTTCTCAATAATTCTCTAACCCGATGATGTCAGCTCATGAATTGTCATCTTAAGATCATAAAAACCTAACTTTGTGTACAGATGTTCGTGTATTGATTAAGTAATTAATTAATTAGGTGGGGGGTCATGAACTTTGTCAATCTTTATTCGTATATCTATTCAGGATCGATTTTTACAAATGACCTATCATCACCAATTAATGATTTATATTTGTTGATGACAATGATATTTTAAATTAGAGTGTAACGGTATATGGAAGTCCCACAATACAGAGAGTAAAATGAAATGAACTCACAATTCCCTTAACTTTTTACACTCCCTCTTTTCATATAAACATAATTAACATAGCGTTTTTCTCAAACTTTTATCAACGCCATTCAACAGTTCTAAATGACAAAAACTCAGCTAATTAAGCCTTTGAAGTGGAAACAGGAGAAAGATGAGGCTGTCTACTATCGACGAGGATATTCCTGATTATGGTAAACTGGATTATGCGTCAGATCGTGTGTAGGGGGGGGGGGTAAGAAGACAGGGGTACGTTGGATCGATAAGAAGATACAAGAAGATCCAGACTTCACGGATGATTTACGTCTAGTATCATATAAACTCGAGGAGATCTGCCAGCGGAAGAGGCAGGCAGAGAAAACAGAGGTGATAAAGGTACCCACTTACCAACAACAACAATAACGACAACAGGAGGAATTTGAAAAAGGTCATTTCTCTCTCTCACTTATTCAGACAAAAGCATTCCAGTTTCAGACGACACGGTTGAAGATGTCAAAGAAAACCATGATTGGAAGAGCAAGAGAGAAATTCATTATTCTCAAATTAGTTTGGAAATCTGCTGCATTCAGCAGAAATGGCCTACCTAAAGTGCATAAACCAGGGGTACCGTTAAGACCAATACTTGATATGCAAAATTCGCTCTACCATGCTCTAGCTATATGGTTAGTAAATATTCTCAAACCTTTGCATGATAAGATAGTGAAGTATAGCGTCAAAGATGTATTTGAATTCGTAAACAAAATAAAAGATATTAATATCAAGGACAAAACTATGATATCTCTGGACAAAACATCGTTATTCACAAATGTACCTCTAATAGAAACAGTTAACTACATATGTGAACAAGTGGATAACCAGTCGATAAACACTGGCATCCGTACTGAAATCTTAAAAGAATTGTTATTAAGGTGTATCATGAATGTAAATTTCAAATTTGACGGCACGCTTTACAGGCAAGTGGACAGGGTGGCGATGGGCTCCCCATTGGGTCCCATTCTGGATGATTTCTTTCTAAGTAAGCTAGAAAATGGACCTCTGAACAACCTTATCAGTAAGCTCTCATTTTATTGCCAATGGATGACACCTTCATTCTTTGTGATAATGGTTCTGATAGGAGTACAATAATTACTGAATTCAATGAAGTACATTCGGCTATGAAATTCACATGCAAAGAGGAATCTCAAGACAGAATTGCCTTCCTGGATGTCCTCCTTACAAGAAAACCAGATGGTAGCATAAAAAGGAATTTGCATAGAAAAAGTAATTGGACAGGACAATATACACATTTTCACAGCTTCGTTCCTATCAAGTACAAAAGAAATTTAGTGAAGACCCTCAGCCACAGAGTTAGAGCTATATGCTCAGAAGAAGTAATTGAAGATGAATTAAGCATTATACATGATACTTTGATCAAAAATAGCTATCCCGAAAAATTTATCAAGAAACACATGACAAAGAAAGTGGAAAAGGACTACTCACTATCCGTAAACAAGAAGCCTCTTATATACGACTACAATTCAAGGGCGATATACCAAGCGAGACAATTACGAAGAAATTAAGCAAATCAGTTCAAAGAAGGTTTAATGCTGGCGAACTACACGTCTTATTCTCTACACAACCGATGGTGCTACTCCGACTGAAAGATGAAGTACCTAGACTACCTGGTCACTTCAAATTGTATCTACTAATTCAACTGCGCTTGTGGAGCGAGTTATATTGGCCGTTGCTCTAGGAACTTGATTCTTCGTGCTCGAGAACATCTCCTAGTATGGCGAAGTAAAGTTATAGTGAAAACCATCATCAACAGTTCGAGATTAGACCACCTGGTGCAAACGGGCAACAAAGCTAGTTACCATTGAAGAATCCTTCTCAATCATCTACCGGGTGCCTAATAAATCGCCAAAAACATCGAAGCATCGGATGTTCCAAACTTCAGAGGCTATTGCAATTCGCTTCAAACAACCAGTGCTCCATGTTCAAAAGAAGCAAGTTCAGCCCCTACTACTGCCCTGGCCTTCAGTAGAGACGAGAAATTCATGTATTTGTATTATTATCTTTCCTCATTTTTCTGACATTCAGTTTACTTTTATGCTGATGATATTGAACTGTGATCCATTGATATTATTATTGATTCGATTTTATTTAAACAACATTAATGTTGTTCATAACACTAATTCATTCATTCACTATAATGTGTATATATAACTGTGGAGCCTGATGAAGAAGGCGTTATCGAAAAGAGTATTCTTTGTTCAAGTAACCATACTTTTATAAATAAGAAAATTTGGATTTTCGACAACAATGTGGGTCAGAGACTTAGCGCGTCATCAAAAGCATTACCAACAAGCCTCAGACTTTCATCAACAGTTGTGTTCACTGCATACTGTAAAAACAGACAGACAGACAGAAAGGATTAACCACAAGGAACTATGGAAGCGACATCACACGAAACCACTTCAGATAGAATCCGAATAGAAAACGACGAGTTGGACGCTTGTCTGTAGGTGACATGGAGAAGAGATCACTTAACGGGGAATTGTTAAGACAGTTGAATAGGACGACTGCAGGGAAGCAGACAAAATGAGAATTCAAGGAATAAAATAACTTTTCAGGAAGGTAGTCAGGTTACATATTCTCCGAAAAAAAGATAATAACTTGCTTTATTTACAATTACTCATAGTTTATTAAAGAGCATGAAATTGACAAGCCATACGCATACTACTTATAATGGACCCGTCGTAAGTAGCATATAATCCGTACTATTGTTATCAAGTATACAAAGCACAATAACTAACTAATTAACCAATACTACTTACCATGAAATGGAGTTGGTGACTTGTTAATAAAGTTGATAAGACCTTCTACATGCGCAGACATATTCGTGTTATTATTATTACTGTTAGGATAAGAGGAATGCAACGGAAGTAGTAGCTGATCTTTAAGTAGATTTTCACTATTCAATAACGTTGTTGTTGCGGTTGCTGTTGACGACAACGATGAATGATGATGATACGTTTTATTAATCGACTCTGAATCTTCTCTAGAATTATTAACTTGATAACCTTTACTATTTATAGGATTATTACTTACTACTATTATGATATGAAGCAGGAAAGTTGACGCTTCCACTACTTCTTGATACTGTTGTCGAGACAGATGAATGTGATACTGTCGAATGATGATGTGAAAAATGAGGATTTGAACAATTTAATGGATTTATGGATTGTTGGTGTTGTTGCTGCTGTAGCTGTTGAGGTGATTGATGTTGTTGTTGACTTGCCTGGTGTTGTTGTTGTAATAGATCCGATTCAAATGTTGACAATAAATCAATAGCTTTTGATCCTAATGAACTCCAAAATAAAGCGTTGGCTAATTGTCTCTAAATAATACAAAATTAAAAAAAAACAAGTACAAATAAATACAGATTTTATTATTATTATTTTTACGAGTTGATCACGGATTGATATCAGTTAGAGAACCATTGAAAACCAGCCAGGGAGTACTGGACAGCTGTTTCCTCCATCCTAGTTTGGGAATCATCGGCAGTACGCACCCACTGCTGCCACGGTTCTAACCCAGGGCCTTCTGGTTACAAGGGAAGCTAGCTCGTATACCATTCAGTCACTGAGACCCGATTCAACGAACATTCCATGAATTCTAACTTCTACCAATTCGTGTCGCATTTAGCGCGACCATCAACCAAAGTCATAGGTGGGGGGCATCCATCTTTACACTTTACTGGTCGGACCTCACTGGTCACGACTTCTCATTAGAACTCCAGGAAACTCATATACCTATGACAAGTCCGTGTGTGATCAGATTGTTCAAAATGCGTGTTGTGCAGATACACAATACACGGACTGATATCAGTCAGTGACCAACTCGTAAAAACATAACTAACCCCTACAAACCAAACTGTAGAAAATTAATCTGATGCTTGCTAGTGACTGACTTGCTACAGGATGGAGTTTCCTGGAGTTCTAGTGAGAAGTCATGACCAGTGTGGTCCGACCAGATGTCACGTGTGAGGATGGATGTCCCACCAACGACATTGGTTGGTGTCAGTTGCTCAAAATCATGAACTGGTAAAAGTTAGAATTCATGGGCTGGCCATTGTATCGGTATACGAGTTAGCTTGCCTTGTAACCAAAAGGTCCTGGAGTTAGAACCCTGTTGGTGGGTACGTACTGCCGATGATTCCCAAACTAGGATGGATGAGACAGCTGTGCAGTACTCCCTGGCTGGTTTTCAATGGTTCTATAACTGATATCAATCCGTGATCAACTCGTAAAAACATAACTAACCCTTACAAACCAAACTATAGAAAATTATTATTATTATTACTTTTATCATTGCTCCTTTAAGTTTCGAGTGGAACATAGGGCTTTAATAGTATGTCTCCATTTTGTTCTACTTTCTACGGTCCTTTATAGCTGGCCTTAAGATTGCCTATAGTTTCTCATCTCCTCTCAGTCTTCATATAACCTACTCCATGTCATTCTCTCGGACCCACACCCACCCACTCGTCGTTTCCAATCAGAGTACCACTCAACCGATGACCTGGAGCGCGCTGTGTGTGTCAACCAACAGTCTCCTCACAGCAGTTAACGGAAACATTGAGAAGACTGAAACAACAACAAGGCTTTATCTCACAGAGTCAGTAAACATCACTTCAACTCACTGGAACGTTCACACCGAGATTACATGGCTCACCTAAAGTGATCAAAAATGGTGTACCGCTTCGACGACCAATATTAGATATGTTAAATTCATCACACCATCCCGTAGCCAAATAGTTAGTCGAATTCTCACAGTGAGTTGGTGAAACACAGTGTAAAGGATACTTATGAATTTGTTGAAAGGATAAAAGATTTAAATGTTGACAATAGATGCATTATATCATTTGACGTATCTTCTTCATTCACCAATGTACCTCTCATGGAAACAGTGGACTTTGTATGCGAAGAACTCATAAGACGAAAACATCGATGTTGGCATTCCTATACCTTTTATGAAAGATCTTCTCTTGGAATATACAATGAATGTTCACTTTATATTCATTAGGGAACTACATAGACAAATCGATAGTGTAGCAATGGGGTCACCACTAGGATCGATTCCAGTCGACATTTTCCTTGTGAAACTAGAAAATGGGCCTTTGAAAGATGTTACTGATGAACTTGAATTCTATTGTCGGTACATGGATGATACATTTTTGATTATGAAAAATCAGGAGGAAGCAAAGAACATCCTGGATAAATTTAATGAGGTTCATCCTGCAATAAATTTTACTATTGAGAAAGAAAAAGACGTCCTTAGAACTAGAAAAGAGGATGGCACAATAAGAAGAAGTGTTTATAGAAAACCTACATCAATGGGTCATCAGTATACTCATTTTTTTCAGCTTCGTGCCCTTGAAAATACAAACGCAATCTGATAAAGTGCTTGGTTCACAGAGCAAGAGCAATCTGCTCAGATGAATGTCTTAATGAGGAACTTAATAATATTAAACGGTTGCTGAGTGAAAACGGTTATCCAGAAAAGTTTATTGATAAGAATATGAATGTAAAATCAAGGCAACCCAAGGTACCACCAGTTCCTAAAAAGCCCTTATTCTTACAAGTACAGTTCCTTGGGGACAACATCAGCGAGATGCTAACACAGCGCTTTAGCAATGCGGTAAAAAGAACATTTCCTGCCGCTGAATTACTCTGTGTCTTCTCTTTTGTGTTCGGGTGTATCTACCAATTTAACTGCTCCTGTGGAACCAGTTACATAGGCGGTACAACTAGCCATGTTTCTTCTCGAATTCCCGAACATCACCCTGAGAGGTTAAGTAAAGGACAAACAAAATCTATTCGCAGCGCTATTCTATTTCATCTTGTGGATACAGAACACAAGATTGATGTTAACAAGGAGGCTTTCAGAGTCATTTACCGCATACCAACAAATCTTAATTTCGCCTTTAGAGTTCGTTTACTAAATATTGCTGAGGCTGTCTGTTGGGATCCACATTAAGAAGCTTAATTTATGCGTCCAAAAGAAGTTAGTTCAGACATTATCCTTACAACGCTGGCCATCTAGGTTTGAGTGATCCTCAATTTTTGTGGAATTTTCCTAATTTTAGTTGATATTCTATTTGCTATTATGTATTTATTATTATTATTATTATAATTTAAGCATCTTTCATGAACTGTAATTCCATCGTGATCTTACTTAACAAATCGATATTATTTAAAAAACACTAATAGTGTTATTGACTACTATTCTAGAATATTCTGCGTATATAAACATATGTATATAACTGTAGAGCCAGAAGAGGAAATTATCGAAGAGGATATTCTTTGCTGGCTTAATTATTTTGTGCTTTAGAGATGTCTGAATGAATATTTTCTGGATATTTGTTGAGCAATCAATTCTTGGTTAGAGCTTGTTCCCAGAGTTCCTTGTTGTTAATTCTTTCTGACCAGCCATATGATCTTCAGTATGCAACGATAATAAAAGTCTACAGTAACCTGTTGGAAATGCTTTCCGTGACACGCTGGTCAAGTTTCTGATCCACAGAGAAGAAACTTGGCAAATCATGAGAAATAGAGATTGATGACTGGAAAAGTTTCAGTAACAATGGAACTATCAACAACAGCTGTCTGCCTTCATACGATCAACACTGAAGGTCAAATGACCTGCCAGGAAAGATAAGCAGCAGATAAGGCGCTACTATGCCAGCAAAATGAAATAGTCAACAATCTTTTGTCCACGACAACGAATACGCTAAAGGAGATGGACTGGATATTGATTCAGAGAGGCCTTCAAGTAATATCACACAGAACTCCTTAGAGTGGAGCCCTAGTGGAAAGCAATAGCCTGGCTGTCTGAGATTGATATAGACAACTTTATATGAAATGAAGTCTGGAGATAATTGGTGTCAAGGCTCAAAACCGTTCTAAATGGCTTACGCAGATCTATTAACTCTTTGTAATTTATCATATCCAATTAAAAACTATAGTTCTTCAGTATTACTTATCATTTGCCCTCACTGATACTTCTGTTTATCATCTCTCCTTTGAATCTCTGTTTACTCTCTTCGTTTGCTGTGCTACATGGAGAGAGAGAGTGGCAACTCGAACTGCTGCACATCAATGTAAAGTTCTAACTTGAAACCAATCAGTCAGTGTGTGGTGACACATACATAAGAAGGAGTAATCGTGCTTTGCATATGAAGACTGCACAACACATATACCTAAATAGTTAAACGCTGATGACAGCAGACTACCAGCTTCGTTTAAACCTAAACAACTTAACTAAGATTTCTAAGTACTAACACACTAATACTTGAATATCAATGAGATGCTCACTGGCAACTGGCCCTATTCAGGTAGGCCAGTGGGAAGTCGTGACCAGTAGGGTGCAGCAGGTCGGGTGTGAGGACAAATACGCGCCACCGATGACATTGGTTAGCGGATGCGCTATATCGTGAATTGGCAGAAGTGAGAATTCATGGGTTGGCCATTGGATCTGGTCCCAGTGGCTGATGAATGGTCTACGAGCTCGCTAGCTTTGGAAGCAATAGGTCCTGGGTTCGAAACCCGGTGGGTGCGTACCGATGGGAATCCCAAACTAGGACGAAACAGCTGTCTGGCAGTACTCCCTGTAGGTTTTCCAATGGTTCTCTAACCAATGTCAGCTCATGATGAAATCCTGTAACCAATCAACCAAATCCCCCTACAAACCAATACTTGACTAACACTAATCTAGACTTCGCCGATGATATATGTCTGATTTCCCACAAATCGGAAGATATGCAAGCGAAAAGCAACAAGTTGGCAGAACAAGCATCAAAGATAGGACTTCCTTAAGGTGAACATAGAGAAAACAGAGATGATGAAGATTCCTGGGCAACACCATCAGTAACAACAACAGACAACAATCAGCATAAATGGAAGGAATCTGAAAGAAACAACCTCTTTTACCTACCTGGGAAGCATCGTCTCACCTACAGGCGGACGGAACTGACAAGGATATCAAAGCAAGAATCGGAAAAGCAAGACAAACTTTCACTACTCTCCAGTCTGTGTAGAGGTCAACAGCACTACTCAGCATCAAAAATAAGATCCGGATTTCCAACTCCAATGTGAAGTCAGTCAGTGCTACTATACGGATCAGAGACTTGACGCGTCATAAAGAGCACCTCAAACAAACTACAGACTTTCATTAACAGTTGTCTTCGCTCAATACTCAAGATCAGATGGCCGGCCAGAAAAGATCATCAATAGGGACCTGTGGGAGCGAACCAACCAGGAACCGATTGTGCAACAAATCTGCAGGAAGAAATGGAGGTGGATTGGCCATACTCTGAGGAAACCATCAAGTGACATCACTAGATAAGCCCTCAAGTGGAATTTGAAAAGGAAGCGGCGAGTTGGTCGTCAGTGCAAGGGTGACTTGGAGGAGGTCATGTGAAGAGGAGATGAAAGCGTGTGGGCAGACTTGGAGCCAGGTGAAGACTCCAGCAGAGAACCGAACGCAATGGAGACGCACGGCTGAAGCCCTATGTTCCTCTAGGAATTAAAGGAAACAATAATAATAATGATAAGATTTCTAAGTACTAACACTAATAATCTAATAATGATAATCTAACTTACTAAAGATTGAGCAGCAGATTGATGATGAGTAGGCAACTGTGACAGATTATCAATTCCACTTGCTGCTGTTGTTGTCGTCGGTGGTGGTGCTGGTGGTGGCGGTGAAGTTGTTCCAACACCACTAGATCCAATTAAAAATCTTGGAAGTTGTTTTAATAAATTCAATTGTTGATCACAAAGATTGAAGGAGGAATTTATAAACTCTGAACCACTACTACTAGCAGAAGGAGTAGTAGTATTGTTATTATTGTATTGATGATGACTTGTTGAGAAGGCTGTAGCAATCGATTGAGTAACTTGATTATTATTATTATTAAATGATTTATCTGTTCCACTGGTCTGATTGACAACGTCTACAGGATTATGAAACTGTGCTGCTCCTCCTGCTGATGAAGAAGAGGTGAGAATAACAGGTGAATTAGGATTATTGGTACAATTTAAAGGCAGTGAACTGTTCGAAGCAGTAGGATAGACTGGGAGGCTGGATGCTGTCCGTGAATGTTGTAAGAGTAAGGCAGCTACAGCCGCCTGACTAATAGAAGATAATAAATTCGACTGGAAAATTGGAGTAGTTGATGGACAACACAATGATGAATTCACCTGACCGCTACCAGTGGATCCAAGACCAAGAAAGGAGTAGAGAGCAGAGGCTGCACTAGGATTCGAGGAGATAAACCGATCGACAGCACCACCAACACTTAATTCAGATGATGATAATAAGCCGGTATTATCTGAACTTGAACTCCTTGAATACTTAGTACCTTCAATTGAAGGTGTTAAACAATTCGATGCTGAATAACTGTTGTTAATTGGTGTAGATAAAAAATTTCGTGTTATATTTGAACTAGATATATCCAAACTGTTCACAGAACTGCTAGCAGGTGAAGAGAATGATATCCGATTGGTTGAAGTTTCGTTTGTACTACGATTATGATGTTGATGTTGTTGGGTATATGTAGTACTGTCTACAATCGATCTCAACTGTTCAGAAGAATCTGAAAGTCCGTTGAGATTTCTATCTGAAGTGTTATGCAATAGAGATCTAGCCGATGATTCTTCGTTTAAAAATGTTCGACGATCGAATTCAGCAGATGATTGAGATGCAGGCTAATAATCATGGGAGAAAATAAAACAACCAGATAAATATTTTAAATATAAAAGAACAGAACACGTAATTCGGCGGTGTGAGAGGTCCTTTTCAGGGAATTCATTCTCCTCTCAAATGGCTATACAATCACATTTATATATACAATCTCTTTTTCATGAAACAGGGCAGTAGTAAAAGTGATGAGTTGTCACAATCATAACTGTTACATATTAATCAGTGCATAAATGGAGTTGAACAAGTGCATCAGAGTTACGTAATCAGATGTTTAAAACAATTAGTTCCCTTTATGAATTTAGACAAAGCAATAAGGAGACGTAACCTCGCCTAGATTACCATCACCATCAACGGGAGGGATTTGAAAGAGGTTACTTCATTCACTTATCTAGCGAGCATTGTCTCAACTACAGGAGGAACGGACGAGGATGTCAAATCGAGAATCGGGAAGGCGAGAAACACATTCATCCACCTCAAACCAATCTGGAAATCTTCGTCACTCAGCAACACTAAACAACAAAATTCGGATTTTCAATACAAACGTCAAGTCAGTCAGTTCTTCTATACGGATCAGAAACTTGGTGGGTCACAAAGAATATTTCCAACAGCCTGTTGCAGACCTTTATCAACAACTGTCTTCGTTCTATACTGATGATCAGATGGCCGGAAAGAATCACCAACAAGAAACTATGGGAACAAACAAAGCAAGAACCAATCGCCCAACAAATATGCAGGAGAAAGTGGAGATGGATTGGACACTCGCTGAGGAGGCCACTGGGTGACATCGCGCGTCAGGCCAATGCTCGAGTGGAACCTGAAAGGGAAGCGGCGAGTAGTGGGACGTCCAAGGGTGACATGGAGGAGATCGTGTGAAGAAGAGTTGAAACAGCATGGACTAACATGGATGCAGGTGAAAAGTACAGCAAAAGACAGAAGCAAGTGGAGACGTGCAGTTGAAGCCCTATGTTCCACTAGGAACCCAAGGGAACAATAACAACAATAATAATAAGGAGACGTAATTTGTCTGAATCGTGTATTGTGTGTTTCCACAACACTTATTTCGAACAATCTGATCACACACAGACTTGTCGTAGGAGTATACATGAAATTAAGAGTTAAGAGGTGAGGGAATAAATTTAGGTCTAGTTAAAAGAACATATTGAAGGTCAAAATAACAATGAAGATCACTAAACCAAATAACAGAGGTATTAGTACATTGTCTGGTATCAAAACAAACTTTACCAAAGAATGTTTAGTTAGTGTAATGACGAATTGTTTTTGATGAACGCATAAAGGTGGTTTAAACTTCCTAATTGCCAGCTAGGGCTTCCACAAACTTTAGGACACTCGCTCCTCCAAACACGTTTTATAGATAGGCTTAAAAGATTTGTTAACGTCAATTTTATGTCCTACCTCTGTAATATGTTTCGCAATAGAGGAGCTAGGTCGTCTCTTTTCACCATTAATGGGTCCTGGGGATTCTATTTGCTTCTGAAGCCTTACTTGCAGAGATCGATGAGTCCTCCCTGTGTATGTGTGGCCACACGTACAGTGGGATGTGACATCAGTTTTCGCATGTTCAAAGGGCTTAGATGGACATATTGACTTAACATTTTCAATTATTATGATACTAGCTGCATAAAAAGTCTTTTTAACAGCAGCGTTCAGCCGTTGTCTAGTTATCAAGTTGCTATGATTTCCCATATAGGGTAGCTTGATGTACACGTCTTTCTTAGGGACGAGTTGGAGAATGAGTCTTGATGTTCTGACTGCTCCTAATGAACGTGTCTCGATAATAATTATCGACCAGAGTTTGTGTCAGCTTTCTTTGTTCTTCATCAAGTGTCTCTTCAGTGCATATTCGTTGGATTCTACTGAAGATGCACCTCATTCCCTAAGGCTCTTTTGTACTGAACAGTGCAGAAACTGTGGTAATTAAGATAATGCCCCGTCCTGTCCAGGTAAGTTTTCTATACACAGACCGTTTCATCAGGCCGTCAACTAAACAATATATCTAGGAAAGATAAACAATTGCCTTCCTCTTCCCCAGATGTAAGTGATATGCTATTCTGAACTTTATTCATTCGATATAAAATCAGGTGGGGCAGAACAAGCCTTATCACTTATGATTGCAATGTCTTCGACATACCTTCTATAAATTGACACATTTTCGATTAAATCCTCCGATAGACTGTCAATGTACAACATATTGATATCTGCTATAAAAAGGGACCCTAATAAACTTCCTATAGCAACACCATCAATCTGGCGGAATCAATCACCTTCAAATGTAAACCTAACATTGTTAGTACATAGAAGTAATAAATCCCTTAAATAATATATAGGGAACGGGATGAAAAAATTATTACATGTGGAAATGTAATCACACAAAATGTCAACTGTTTTAAGTAGTAAATAAAGAGTTTACATAAAAATAGTTCATATATTAGATGTATAATTTAATGAATGAGTTGTAATCAAGATGCAACATAGAAATAAAGGAAAATGTGATAACACGTAAGAGTTCTAAAGAAATAGAAGAATCATAGGGGTTTCGACAAACAAACAAAGTCAAGACAGCAGGAATCACCTAGGTTGTCGCCATGACAATAGGTAGGAGTGGTTGAATAATTTTCTTCCGTATGTATTGCACCGGTTTCTCTAATTGAATGGCATCTGCCTATCTCTATGTTTACATATCAGTCCACCTGCTCTCGTGGAGCCACATATACTGGTCGTGTGGCGCATATCCTGTCTAAAAGGGTCTAAAAGAACACTATCCCCCGCATGGCTACGAAAAGGTAATAGTGGCTGTATAAGAAGAAGTGCGATAATCGAACATCTCGTCAACACAGGTCACTTCCCCATCAACAAACGCCTCCTCCTTCAAAGTAATCTACAAAATGAAAAACAAGAACCTGCCGAGGGCAAGTTGCATTGTTGAAGTTTTAGCCATTCAGGGAGAGAGAGAGAGAAACCGGAGCTGCACATACTAAAGAAAATTACTCAACCACTTCTACCATCATGGACACAACCTTTTACTGACTCAATTTAACTGCTCCTGTGGAGTGAGTCAGTTACATAGGTCGTACAATTAGGCGCGTTTCTCGTCGAATTTCCGAACGTCACCCTGCGTGGTTAAGCGAAGGACAAACAAAATCTATTCGCAGCGCTATTCTATCTCATCTCGTGGATACAGAACACAAGATTGATGTTAACCAGGCTTTCAGAGTCATTTACCGCATACCAACAAATCTTAACTTCGCCTTAAGAGTTCGACTACTAAATATTGCTGAGGCTAATTTGTGCATCCAAAAGAAGTTAGTTCAGACATCATCTTTGCCCCGCTGGCCATCTAGGTTGGAGTAATCCTCAATTTTTGTGGAATTTTCCTAATTTTAGTTGATATTCTATTCGCTATTATATCTTTATTATTATTATAATTTAAGTATCTTTAACGGACTGTAATCTCATTTTGATCTTACTTTACAAATCGATATTATTTAAAAAACACTAATACTGTTATTGACTACTATTCTAGAATGTTCTACGTCTATAAACATATATATATATAATTGTAGAGCCGGAAGAGGAATTTATCGAAAAGGATATTCTTTGCTCGATTATTTTGTGTTTTATAGACTCTTTGTTTTTCTAACTCCTTATAACTCTTGTATTTCTGTAGAACTCTTACGTAACTCTATGTTTTCCTTATATTTCAATATGCATCTTGATTACAACTGACTCATTAAATTACTCACTTTGTTACGTAACTGATACACTCGTCTGTTCAAATATTCTTACGTATTGGCGAATACTAACAACTACGATTGTCACATTTTTAGGACTAGACACAAACATTACACTAGTTACTGACTAGTATCCAATCAAAATATATCCAATACAGTCCTACAGGAGGTCAGTCGTGAGCCCAAATAGTTCAGTGATAACGTCTCAGACGGCAGAACACACTGGGTGACGCCGGTTCGAATCTCAGATGGGACATTAGTTCCAGATACGCCTTACTGACTGGTGAGTGCCAACTAGCACGAAACCTAGGTCCAGGCAAGGCTTCCTGCCAACTGCCTCCAACCATCTAATACTAACAATGATTATGACAACTCATCACTTTCGTCACTACCCTCTTTCAGGAAAAAAAGAATTGCATATAACTGCGACTGTACAGCTATTAAAGAGGTAAATGAATTCGCCGAAAAGAGCCTCTTCACCGCTGAACTACGTGTTTTTTTCTGGATTGGAAATTATTCATGAAAATTTTAAATATAACTCAAAATGATAAAACAAAACAAAAAATGGTTCTAATCAATATTTTCAAATTTGGAGCTTTTTGACGTTTCAGCAGCAGTTGATAAGGTTGCTAGTCTCATACGTCCAACCTTCGCTTCTTTTTACCGGGCTTACTAGTGGGTTAAGAGTAGCAAAGGGGTTTAGGACTGCGTCAACAGCCAGGGAGTGAATTTCAATTATTCTACTGAAAAAGAATTACTAACCATTAAAAGCCTACTGGGGAGTGGAGGGGGGGTCAGTGTGCCTACACACGCACACACATACACACACACTTGTATGAGTTTCCGCATACTTACAGAATCAATTGGAAAATTTGTAATCATATTAACATCATTCATAAACTCTGTAGGGCATAAACAATCATGATTAAATGATGATAATAATAATCGATTAGTTGAGCTGTTGTCATTCGTACAACTTTGTATGTGATCACTTCTCAAATCATTAGTCATAATATTATGATCGGCAGGATGTACTTTTAAATAATTATTATTTGTTAATGATGAAAGGCATGCATGGTTAATATTTATTGCCTGAGAGAGATTATTTAACTTTAATTTGGATAGATTACAATTATTCATCACAGTTGTAGAAGTAGGAGTGGAAGTAGAAGTAGGCGCCGCCAATATACCAGGATCTTCTACTAGAATATCAGATGGTAATAAAGGATTCCCAGATATACCGGTGGTAGCATTATTTGTAGATGTTATGAAAGACGATGTAGATGTCATGTTTATTGCTTGTTGCTCAGAGGATAATGAGGATGACGATTGTTGGTGTTGTTGTTGTAACGACCCAGTAAATGCATTATTGGCAGTCCACGAACGCATTGGAACTTGTGTAGGCAAACCGGCAGCATTATGCCAAGGACTTTCAATACGACCAATTTTACAAAGAGGAGTATTAAAACACTTGGTCATATTGGATATACTGTTATTATTATCATATAAATTGCTTTGATGCGTAGTATTTTGACCAAAAACGTTGTTGATTCAATGATGATAAACACAAATCAGATGAACAAGATGACTCTGTACCGATTCGATCACATGATATTAACGAACGAATACAATTCATATCACAGGTACTGGCAGAAGATACACCTCTGATATTGTCTAATGGGGGGAAGGATAAATTCTCTACATGATTCATGCCTCTTCCAGATAATTTTGTTTGTTGTTTATTATGATGAGGATGGTGAGGGTGATGAGGATGATTATCTAGATTTCTTGTTCTACCAATATTAACTTTACGATTTATTCCACAGGAGAGTTTCGCTGGCAAAGAAGTAGTTATCGAGGCGGCATTCGTCTGTTCGTCGACTGGTGAACCAGTACGTTTACATGAGGATGATGTAGACGTTTGACGAGATGAATTTGTCCCTGGTAACAAGTTACCTTTTCTACTGGAATCAGTCGAGGCAGTATTGCCAGCACTACCTGTTGAACCTGCCAGTGTTTGATGATGATACGATTTAAAACGTAAATTCGGTAGAATGATACCATTTTTACGCACATAATCGCATAGAGAGGATTTAGCTAAATTATACTTTTGTGCAGCACGACGCATAGATATCTGTGAGCCTAAGACATCATTCACAGCTAACTCGAGTAGCTCACGGCGTTCTGCAGGTTTATGACGAGGACGTCGAACAGTTGTAGTAGTAGTTGTTGTTGGTGTTGTTGTTGTGGTGGTGATGGTTGTCGTGTTGGTTGTAGTAGTAATGGGTGAGACATTTGTTGTAGGATTTGAACTACTGGTGTTGATTGTAGTCACACAAGTGAACTGACTGTCAACGGATAATGATTGACTCGGTGATAATCCAATAGTTGTACTGGGTGATGAGTGTGCAGGAGGGATATTCGGGTCTGATAATCGTTCTATTGCACATATTTTAGGCAGTTGAGGGGGTTCAATAGTCGGTGGGGATGACAATGGGGATGTAATGATGAAAGATTCTTGAGTAGTAGTAGGGGTAGCAGTATTCGTAGGAGGAGTCGGAGTACTGGCAATCAATTCAGCTGTTGTAGTATCTTGTTCAAAATATTGATTTGACACACTATCGTTACATTTTGTTTGTTCTTCCGTTACTGGGGTATATACACCACCGCCACCAATTGAATCGATAGCTTCAAAACGTGGTATAATACTTTGAGCATCAGAAGAAAAAGGTGGAGTTTCACGATTAGTATCTGTGGATTGTGATTGTGACATTGGGCGCAGTTTATGGTGCTTTATTCATGTTGTATAAATCCTGATACAGTTGTAACTAACTCTCAGTGAATATTGTGTGTAATATATATGCGTACATGTAATTTCCATTCACTCGTCAAATAATAATCGATCGATGCGATAATCCGAAAGAGAATACAAAACACGAGGGTGGGCTACTTATAACGGCAAGTTATCATTTTGAGGATACCATCAGAAAATAACGGATCATCAAGTTGGAATAAATCAAGTGGTTTCTCTTTTTTTTCAGTAAATATACCATATAGGATGATATTTATGATGATAACGTCCCACAATCAACAACATGAACCAACTATACACAAAATACACGATAGAACAATTCTGATCTAGAGAATTTTATGAGCACGCACGCACACACAAGGTTATTATTATTTTGTGTGCTCGCCTGCCTGTATGCCAATGTGTGCGTGTGTGTCTCTAAGTGAGTGCGTGCGTACGTACGAGCCTGTGTCTATCTATTACGCTCGAGTGAATCTGCTCATCAGAAGACACTTTATTATTATTGAGCAATTATGATGCGCTATTGGTTGTGCTTGTGTGTGTGTGTGTGTGTGTATGCTATTGTGGGCACACACAAACAAATATATACACACACGCACATACACACACTATTTGTCCATCAAGAAATTTACTGGCCACCCCAACAATAAAAATCTTCATCAACATTGTGCAGTCGTCTCACTCATACAGACGCACACTCAGACACACGCACAATGGCACAAGCAGAGCACCATACCAACACCACCACATGAAGAGCAGCAATTCAATAATAAAATTTAAGTAATTGCTTTTTCTGATAAAAACACATACTCAAAAGAATTGAAGACAAATAAACGGATAGACAAGCCAACAATTATTGGATTGAAATGAGAATCAAAATAAGATAAAATGATAAAGATAGCACTATGAATGATATATATATATATATATATATATATATATATATATATATATATATATAAACATAAACGCGTGCTGTCGAACAAGCCAATGGGAAGTGAGGAAGGAATAATAATAATAACTTTTGTCATAAAGCATAATCAAAAACCACTGTCTGACCCTATGAGGTGAAGATATATTTATATACTCATCGAAATTTACTCATTGCTATCAAGTATCCTTTTCTTTAGTAATCAAAATAAAGAGTATAAAACTTGGGCACTGTGGTGATGAAATAAGACAGATAGAAGAAGAGCTGGTTGGTGTCAAATAACTAACTATCCTATCCAAAAGTAAAATGAAAATAATGGGGAATAATAGCAGTGATAACATATATAAGAGAGAATATACGGCATCTACTGTTATACCATACAAGGAGGGGACATCTGAAACTCTCCCTACGTAGTAGGATTCTTAAAAAAGCATGAATTAGGATGGCATTCAAATAGGTTAAAGGACCCTGTTGACCCAATTAGACAAAATAATATAATTTAAAAAATACCCTGCAATGACTGTGAGGTCAACTACATAGGTCAAACTAGTAGGTCAGGGGTAGTCAGATTGTCGAAACATAACAATTTAGCTAAGGTAAGAATGAGTAATTTAGAAAAAAGCTCAGCAATTGCACTGCATGCATTAACACATAACCATACAATAGCATGGTGTGAGAGAGTTAAAATTCTAAGAAGTAATCTAGGTAGGTGGAGAGGGAGGTTGATTACTGAATCCTGCCTGGATCATCGAGTCTACACCCAACACATGCAATAGGAATGACTCAATGCAAATACCAGAAATATGGAAGATATTATTACCACCAGCCAGCCAAATCAGAGGAGGATAATAAATAATCTCAAAATTCCATTTCAATTCAAACACATCAAAACATTCGAACAAGTAACTTATTATGACTATAAAAACACTCGTCTTATTTCCTATCTGATTGTATTTGATTGATAACACTCATATTACTATTGTTTCTGAATGTACATTATCCCATATTGATTTTTATTCAAATGTCTAATCAGTTTTTACTCATGTACATAAATGAAGGAAAAAGTTGTGTGAGTAGCTTGATATGATTATGAGTAGCAATAATTTGTGCTTAAAACGTGGTCATCAGTTAATATTACTGTATAACAACACTGTGTGATTTTGTTAAAATAAAATCTTATCCATAATGGAGTAATCAAAATTGTTTGAGTAATATTTCTATAAATAAGACACAAAAAGCTTTGAAATGAAGACAAGAGTAGGACAAGACTGCTGCCTAGGGAGCAAGAAGACTCTAGATTTGAAATTTGCGCGTGATTTTTGTGTCTAATATCATAAAAACTCGAAGATCTACCGGTGAAAATCAGCAATTAGTAGGCTGACGAGACTGGTAGTGAAGATAGGATTTCAAGGGAATATGCAAAAGACAGAAGTGATGAAGATGCCTCACCACCACCAACAACAACAACAACAACAATGACAACCGCCAATCACCACTAGTGGGAGAAATTTGAGTGAAGTCACTTTCTTCCCCTATCTAAGTAGCATCGTTCCAACATCATGTAAATCGAATGCGGGTGTCAAAATCAGCCAGGATTGAAAAGGCAAGGGAAACCATCACTAATGTGAAATCAGTTGGTATATTTATTTGTGTAAATGTGGTGTTATACTGTGTCAAAAGAAAGATAGCTGATGAGGCTGTGTAACTTCAATGAATCAGATAAGCAAGGGCAAGGTACTATGCATGCTGATGGATGAACAATGTCAGCTGACAGGGATTTAAACTAGAAAAGTTAACTCTGAGCCAAGACAAAACAAAGAAACAAAACTTTTTGAAAACCTGGGAGTACTAGACAGCTGTTTTGTCCTAGCTTGAGACTCTTCAGCAGTACGCACCCCTGGGGTTCGAATCCACAACCTTCTGATTACAAGGAGATCTAGCTCGTAGACCATTAAGCCACTGGGACCCGATCCAATACTTAGTAATGTGTACAAGCCAGTGAGGTGCAATCAGTCAAGTGTGAGGATGAATATCCCACCGATGACATTGGTTGGTTGTCGAGCTAAGTCGCGAATTGCTAGAAGTTAGAATTCATGGGTTGTTCGTTGAATCGGGTCTCAGTGGCTGAATGGTATACGCGCTTGCATCGTAGGTTTGAACCCGCGTGGGTGCGTACTGCCGATGATTCCCAAACTAGGGAGATGTAACAGCTGTCCAGTACTCTCTGGCTGGTTTTCAATGGTTCTCTAACTGATATCAATCCGTAGTCAAACTAGTAAAAAACAAATTTAATCCTTACAAACCAACTCTTAAAAATTAGTATTTTAGGGCCTAAGTTAACACACTACTAGCAAAATATAAGTAGTTCAAAAGTGTTATCCAAGTGCATCAAACAAGTTATTTAGTTGATATTTAAACGAATGAAAAATCACGTGTTTTGCAGGACTCAGTATGTCATACTGATGCCTTTTAGAATAACAGAATAGCATTTTTATGTGATTTTAGACGATTACATGTCGTAGTGACAGGACTGACTGACAGGTTTCAAACATCGAACTTTGCAAAGAAGTACACCACCAGTCCAACTTGCAACACTCCATGTATGTAGCACCCAAAAGAAGGCAAAAGAATAATAACATGGAAAATCATGACAGTTTAGTGGATATGAGATATCTCACAAAGAGTGAATGCATCTACGCCAGCCATTGAGAACGCCTTACAGCAATTTCACAGACTGCTTTCAGCTGTTTGCTTCATAGAATCCTGAAAATCTCAACCAGTCAGGAAGTCCACACCTCCCTACGTGGCTGGCCCAAACTAACTGTTAAATATTTCATGAAATGAATGGAATTTTCGGACTGAACACCACTAGCTTTTTTTCCAAAGTGACCTTAATGAAGTAGTTGTGTTCTCTGGGCTGGTGGATTAATTGTGAAGCTTTCGTCATCCGTCTAGACAACACCTTCTTAGACGAGCACACTCTCTGATAATTGATGAGAAAGAAAAAGAAGAAGGAGAAATATCAAACATTACCGAGACTTTCAAGCAACACAACTACCCAAGGAACTTCATCAACAAAATCAACACTGATATAGTCGAAAACGCATTCCGAAAACATGGACCCCAACATATGATATCAGAAGAGTACTCAATAAACTCGACATTAGTTTTCTTCAAAACATCAGACACACTGCGAAACAACCTTGTC